GCGCCCCCGGCGGCCCCGGCTCTGTACGCCTGCACCAAGTGCAACCAGCGCTACCCCTTCGAGGAGCTCTCCCAGGGCCAGCAGCTCTGCAAGGTCCGCGGGGCGGGGAGCAGCTGAGGGGAAAGGGTGGGGGGAGGCGGTCATTGGGCAGCGGGGGCTCCCCCGTACCACATCCTCCCCCATCTCTGCAATGCTGAGGCCGCGCCTCGTGCGGGGCGGGAAGTTCTCCCCTTGCAGGTGATGCCCGAAGGGGCCTTTTTGCCTAGGTGAAAGGGTGAGCCAACTCGTGTCTTACACCACTTTACAAAACCAGTTGCACTTCCACCATCTGGCTGTGCTCGCGGATCTTGCCCAGAGCCACAGCCCTAGTGAGCCAGGATGCAGTGCCGTTTGGGGCTGGCCACTTCTGGGATATGGTTAAAGACTTGCCCTTAATATGCACCCTCACACCAGTGTTGAGTATTAGTTATGCAAATCCTCTGCTTTGCTTTACCTGGAAGAAAATGGTCATGGTGGGTTTTAAACAGTCCTCCTTGTAAAATACTTCAGAACCCATTTTCTGTTTCTCCTTACTCTTTCTGAGAAAAGATAGCTTTCTGCTGCCTGTGAAAAGATAGCTTTTGTTCTTTATTGTTAAATCCCATGTTAGGACCTTTGCTGCAGAACTAGATGGAGTGGCCAAGAGCAAGTTGTGGGAGGGAAATGAATGTTTTTCAGACCGGATGTATAAAATAACAATATGTGGAACCTATATGAAGAAGTCAGATGAGACCAACTTGTAACTTCATGGCTGATTGCTTTGGTAAATAGTTACTGACATTTTTCTTTCAGGAATGTCGAATTGCCCATCCTATTGTAAAATGTACTTACTGCCGATCAGAATTCCAGCAAGAGAGGTATGTATGCATTCTGAAATTATTTCAACCTTCAGGAAGGACTATTAAATTAACACCAAATACTTCCTGCATGTCTGTAGCTAAAATCCCAGATTAATAAAAATCGCTTTGGATTATCAATATTTGCCAATAGGAGGTGTGTCTCAAATCATGTATTGCAATAATGCAAATATTTGCCTTTTTTAAATGGATTGCATGAGTTGGCGTTAAACACAGCCACAATAACTTGCTTTTAGTAGTGCCCCAAATGTAATATATAAATACACAAGGGCTGTGTCTAGACTGGCTTTTGTGGAAAAACTTGCCAGCTGTCTACACTGGCCGCTTGAATTTCCGCAAGAACACTGACTTCCTACTGTAAGAAATCAGTGCTTCTTGCGGAAATACAATGCTGCTCCCGTTCGGGCAAAAGTCCTTTTGCGCAAAACTTTTGCTCAAAAGGGCCAGTGTAGACAGCTCAGATTTGCTTTGTGCAAAAAAGTCCCGATCACGAAAATGGCAATCAGGGTTTTTTTGCGGAAAAGCGCGTCTAGATTGGCACGGACACTTTTGCGGAAAAGTTTTCCGTTAAAAGCATTTGTGGAATATCATGCCAGTCTAGACGTAGCCAAGAAGCCAAGGTACATATTTTGTTTTTGCTTTAAGTAGCCATTGTGTGTAGTTTATATTTAGATGTATAATTTGTGGTAATTGCATATGGGAAAGAATTTGAAAATTTGTGCTTATTGTTAAATTCAACTTTGCAAAATCTTCTCTTTAGCAAAACTAACACAATATGCAAGAAATGTGCCCAAAACGTGAAGCAGTTTGGAACGGTGAGTTGGCAGTTCTTTGTCAAAAATACATAAAATTTCACCAAATGCAATAGATGTTTCAAAGAGCAGCACATATCTTGGTATTATAAGCTCATTAAGATTGTCAATATTTTACAAACTTTACTAGTGACAGTGATGCTCTTTTTATACACACACAGCTACCTGAAAAATTAATCATCTGTGCTTCTTTGACCTAAAAAAAAATCGTCTGGAAAACTGATGAAAAAAGCCCTCAGCTGAATCCCCCACTTATAAATATTGGCATAGTTTTCACAAAATTTAAAAAATGGTTAATTTTGAAACCATTCAGAGTAATTCACAGCCAGATTTGATAGTTACGAATCACTAAAACTTCTTCCATCTGCACATGTAGTACAAACTTAAGTCTGTATGTTATGTGTACAGGGTAAAATCCCTGCTTATTTTTATAAATGCTTACTTGACAAGATATGTTGCTAGCTATTTGAGAGGCTTGTTATTTTTTAAATTTGTGAGTAAATGAGAAAATCTGTCACTGCAACATGAAGGTTCCCTTATTAAAATAATTTAAAAAAATTAAGGTTCTTAAAGGAATGTTGACTCCACTATGTTAAGCGTACCTGTGTAATGCGACCTGGTTAATATTACTGTAGGGATGTTTTACATAGCCTCATCTTCACTCGTAACTTGGTGCTCTGTTAGAAAAGTTTTGTGTGTAATTGGGTCCGCAGTCATCACTGGTATTTATGATAAATTGCACTGTATGCTTTTGGAGCAGGCACTGTTAATACCACACAGCAGTTTCTCTTGTAAACAGAAGCATTTACATCTTGTAAACTAGGCCCTTAGAGTAACACATTTGTACCTGAGATTCAATTTATTGGACTAGTTCAGTGTAAAAATGACTGTCATATAATCTACTCAGCTCTTTGTGAACTTAAACTGCATAAACTAGGATCTCTTTAGGACGTTCTAAAGGATTGTCATATTTGTTCTCAAGCATAATACAGATGCACCAATACTTAGGGCCACACTTAGTTTCCTTTTTTGAATAATCTCAGAGCAAAGTAAGGTTATCCATGAACTAGAAGGAAATTTTCTTTAAGAAACAGATTACTTTGATTTTCTAATTGCATGTTTTTATTGGCTTCATTTTATAATAATGGTTAAACTTAATTAACTGTCCTTAAGTTAGCTGAAGGTTTGTTTTACTCCCTATAGGATTGCAGGAGCAGGCATTATACCTGAAGCCTGTGCTTGCAGAGCTCAGTTCCCTTGGGTATTTGACGGGTTTTCATTGTTCTCCGAAATCTTCAGAGAAGAGCAAATGATCTAATTTATCCTTTTTTAGATTTAAGTATATTTCTCAATGATAGAAAAATGTCTGACCTGGTAAATTGGAGAAGGCAGCATTCAGAAAATTTGTGCACTTCTTTCACAGAATTTGTATGCAAGTTTCTGGCCAAAACACTTTATTTTTGTCTCAGTTGAGCTAGCATCACATTAAAACAAAATAAGAGGCCATCATTAAAGGTAAGAACAGTAGGACTCTTTGATATTTAAGTCAAGTTCTAAACATTAGAAGCATTATTTTTAAAAAATTGTAGTGCTAATTTAAGCATTTTTAAATGTACTAATTTCTAGTTCTATTTTTCAGCCCAAGCCTTGTCAGTACTGTAATATTATTGCAGCATTTATTGGCACAAAATGCCAACGTTGCACAAATTCAGAAAAGAAATACGGACCACCTCAGACATGTGAACAGTGCAAGCAGCAATGTGCTTTTGATCGCAAAGAGGAGGGAAGAAGGAAGGTAAGCTTTTTTTGTGGTGATATTGTAAAGGCTGGGTCTGAAAACAAAACAAAAATACAACTTGAAATATTTTCCTCTTAAAAAAACAAACCAGCAGTTAATTCCACAAGTAGCAATGTTGTATAAAGGGAATTTCTTGCTTAAAGATCTGACATAACATTTTGTATTTCATTTTTGAGTCATGAAGATTGGATGCTTCTCTTCTGACTTATACTGGAATAAATTCATTATTTTTTTGGTTTGTAAAAAAAGAATCTGGCCATAGCAGCTAAGTAGTCTGTTTCCCTGCTCGGCCTAATCTTCCATACTACAAATATCCTTAAATGTATCTGACATTTTTTCCGATTACTTAGGAGTAGGGATTTTCCTCTCTATAACCACTTTTACAAGACAGCTAAAATATTCGAGAGAAAGAGATGATACACTGCTGGAAAGTCAAACTTAACTGAGTATAGTGCATCATCTTCTCCAGTTACCTTCAACAGTCAATGATACCAATGAAGATAACTACTGGCCCTCATTGCCACACCCCACAGTGTATAGGTTTTATTATATGCAGCACAAAAATGGGCTATTACTATGTATGCTTTTAACTTCTTTGTGTACATTAAAGAATGAAATCCATATTCTGGAGTCCCAGACGTATTTGGTTGTTGGTTGAAGAAGTTTAATCAAAACAATTCTAACCAAGCCAACTAAGATAAAGTAATAGTTTTTCCTCTTGTAAGTTAGAGGTGTCTTTCTCATAGCACTAAGTACAATTGACCACTTTCTGTAATTTTTTTCCAAAAGGTTGATGGGAAGTTGTTGTGTTGGCTTTGCACATTGTCCTACAAGAGAGTACTGCAGAAAACAAAGGAACAGAGGAAGAGTTTAGGATCTTCACATTCTAATTCATCATCCTCATCTCTTGCTGAGAAAGACCAGCATCATTCAAAACATCATCACCATCATCATCATCACCGTCACAGCAGCAGCCATCACAAGTAAGTACTCAAACTTGATGGAACTTGATAAGTCTTGTAACTGTTAAGCTGTTGGATAGGGCATCAGCCTTCAGAGCCAGGGATTGTGGATTCAGGGCCTATTCACATGCCCACTTCTGGCCTGGGAGCAGCTGGGCATCCATCCACCACTAGCATCCCCAGGGCTGGTGCTGGCATCAGCTGAAGGTAAGGAGGTGGGCTGGGTCTCTGGCCTAATGGATGAGTCACCAGCCTCTCTCCTTTTTTGGTCAGGACCCAACTACAACACTCTGAAATTTCATATGTAAATAGCTGCAATCATGAATTTAATATTTTTAAAATCCTAACTGAAAGTGATCAAAATGGGTCATGAATTTAGTAGAGCCCTAGCTATACATTAGCCCAGTGTTTCTCAATTGGTGCTCCGCAGAACCCTGGGGTTCTGCGAAGCAAAAGTAGGGGTTCCGCGAAGAGCCAGCACTCCCCCACCCCCTCTGAAAGAGAGAGAGCCAGCTAGCCAGCTTCTTAAAGAAGCAGCACACTTGTTTCCTGTTCCTCCCTGGCAACGCAGAGGGTTGGGAGGCAGGGGCAGAGGGAACAGTTGCCCCCAGCTGGCACACTACAGGGGTGCCGGACAGGAGTGACTTCATGTGACCCCTCCCCCAAGGAGCCGGGGCACACTGCCTGAACAGCTGGGGCTGTGGCACCTGGCAACTTAGTTCCGCCGCCTTTCTGTGCGGTGTGGGGTGGGGAGATCAGGAGACCTGGGTCTGCGCAGCTCCAACGGTACAGGTGTGGCATAGTGGGGGTGCTGTCTGCTCTGTATCCTGGGATGATCCCCCTGCGCTGTGATGTGTGATTCCCACTGACTCACCCACATGTTGTGATGTAGTGTCATTACCTTGCTGGTTGCTGTGCTTGGATTGTGGGCTGTGAATGACCCCTACTGGCCTCTGCCTGTGAGCACTGCCCAGCAGATGGGCTGCCTAAGTCATGTAGACAAAGACCCAACCAATCAGATGAGTTGGGGCAGCAAGGGAACTAGGGAAGTGAGGGTTCGGGGGAAGGGTCAATCTTGGGCTGGAATCATGAAGGAACCAGTCTAAGGAGGGGGCTAGAATCTAGGGATTCAGGGACCCCATCTCAAGGGGTCTGAGGCATCCTGGCCCAGACTCCTGTAGACACATCACGTCTATGCTGTGTTGTATCCCGGAGAAGCAATAAACCCCCTCTATTCTACTGGCTGGCAGAGTCTTTTCTTGCTGCTACGGGGGTGCAGTGTTGGGGGAACCCCGACACATTGTCACAGCAGGCAGTGTGCTCTGTCCAGGACTCACCATGCCCTCTCCCCCACAAGACCACATCGCGGAAGTAAGTTGCTGGAGTGCAAGAGCCCCTGCTGCTCGGGCAGTGTGCATGCCAACTGTTTGGGGAGGGGAAGTGCAGTCGCACACTTCCCGTAACCCAGAGGTGCTGCAGGATTGCCAGGTACTGGTCCTAGCTGCCCCTGTCCCCTGCCCCCACCAGGACTGTCCCCAGCACCCAGCAGCACCCTGTCCTCAGTCCCAGCACCTTGCTGCCCATCCCAGGACCCTGTCCCTTGTCCCAGCACCGTGCCACCCAGCACCACCCTGTCCCTGGCCCCAGCACCCTGCCATCCACCCTAGCACCCAGCAGCACCCTGGCTCCAGCATCCTGCCCCAGCACCCCGCCACCTGTGCCAGCATCCTACCACCCAGCAGCGCCCTCTCTCCGGCCCTAGCACCCTGTCCCCTGCCCGTACCAGCACAGTTGGGACCACATTAGTGAGGCTTGAGGGTTTTTTTTGTGCATGGCCCCAACTGACTTTTCTGTGGGTCAGTGACCTTTGACTCAAAACAGGTTCCTCGCCCCTCTCATAAATAAAAACAGTGCTAAAACCTTTTGAGTTTGTAATAATATTTTATATAAAAATGAAGCCTGGCCAACGTGGCCCCCAAATGGGGCCAAACCCCCATCTCACTGTAGCATCATAGCACTCCTGAACCACCTGACCCCAAATCTGAGCCTATCATACATTGGAACCCCCTGTCCTGAGCCTCTTACATCCCCAAACTCCTGCATCCCCACATCCTCAATCTTCTGCCACAACACTCCTGCACCATCCACACATCACAAATCTGTGTCCTGAGTCCATCACACTTGCAGCCTCCTTGCCCTGAGCCCCTCACATATCCAACCCAAACTCCTGCACCCTCACATCCACAAGCCTGTGACTTGCTCAGTACCCCAATCTTCCACCTGAGCCCAACAATTCCCCAGCCTGGAGCCCCCTCCCTGAGCCAGCATCCCCTTCTCCTGCATCCAAATTCCCTCCCAGAGCTTGCACTTCTCACCCCTTTCCACAACCAAATCCCTCATTCCCACCCCAGAGCCCACACCACCTGTCTCAACCCAGTGAGAGTGTATAAGGGCTAGGGATAGCAAGTGATGGAGAGGAGGGGAACAGAGGGGATGGGGCCTCAAAGGGTTGGGGTTTTGGGGAAGGAATGTGATTGTCATACATTGGTGGATTCCCCTCTTTTGCTTGACAACCCCAGGAGTTCCTTGAAATTCTGAAAAGCTAAAAAGGGTTCCATGGCCAAATAAAATTGGGAAACATTGCATTAGCCAGTCATTTTAAACTGAAGTTCATTAAAATAGTTTTGGCCACTCATAACATATTGCAAAACAATTTTTTAACCAATCATATTCTATACCTTAGTTGATTTAAATTTTGCAAAATTAGGCAGCATTCAGAAATAAAGAACCAGAAACTATGTAGATAAAACAATAGAGAAATTAGGACCATAAAGGTAAAACAAAGAAATCGTATAGATTTCACAATTACAGCTGTTAAGTGATTCCTTGCCAGACAGAATACTGTCCAGCAATGTTTTCTTTAAACATCTTAAACTCTATTGCTTCATCTGATGGATACTATTAGTGCAGCATCTCCATCTAATCAACCAGATATTTCATTGTTTTAAAGTATTTTAGATGGGGATGTAACTGGTTAACTAGTAAGCATCACCCTTATCAGGTGATGCTTACTGTTAATCGGTGGCCAGGTTGGGCCTGCTATGCCATGAGCTGAGGGCATTCTAGCCGAAGTAGGCTGGAGCATCTCCACACCTATGGGATCCTGGTTAAGCGAATAACCAGTTAAATGGAATTTATATGCCTAATTTTAGATGGAATGTGAGGATGTGATTTTTCTGCTTTTTAGCTCATGGCTGCTTTTGTTCTAAGCTCATGGTGCTTGCAGAGAAAGACCTCAGACCTTAACAATGAGTGATTGTAATGTCATGAAATGCTATTGTCATCTTAATCCTTACTTTTTAACAAGCTACTCTAATAATGTGTGACTGTCTGTGGCTTACACAGTGTGCCAGCTTCTTTTGTCACTTGTAAATACTTGTTAGTCTTTGTCAGTAGCTGCTTCTAGGGATTTAGTGTTTATTTTACCATACAATAAAAGGATACTGGTCTAAGAATCATATAGGTAACATCTGTAAGCTTTAAATATTTTTTTACTTGAGAATCGCTTTATAATTTATTTTGTATTTTCAGATTGAAAATTGAAAACTTATAGCTAGAGTGCATAGACTCATATAGTTATGGCCACTCTAAACGTTTTCACTGTTAACTTCACTTTTCAGCTGAGTGAGACATTTTTAATGCCTTCTTCCAAGCTGAAACTTTTTCAGATCTAATCAAACCAAAGATGACTTACCAAAAAAAAAAGCTTGAGGGAAACTTGATTCAACTGCTCTTGAAAATAAAGACAAAGAAGGGGGAAATAAATTGCAATTTTCCTATTATGTTCTTCAGTTGGAAGAAGATAATATTAGAGAAGAGGTACCTTACAGTGGTGAAAATCCATTTTGACTTACCCAAGATATAACTGGTCAAATCTTATTTCACTAGAGCATGGCAAATACCAAATAAAGACTTCCCTATTTCTTAAAAGAAGAGAGCTTCAGTGTGTATGCATGCATCATTTGGGACAGGCATCGTCTTGGGTAAACCACCTCTGTGGCTTCCCATCATGTGCCCTATCCGATTTGTATTAGTATTGTTTCTAGAGCAGTGCACATGGAAGTTTAAAGTCTGTAACAAATTAATTGATGTTCATCTAATACAGTCTAAGTTGCATTATGTTGAACATAACCATTTCACTTGTGCTCTCTGGTCAGCTTACTTTGAAAATGAATGAAGATACAACTTATACTTTAAAAACATTGTATTGAAAGGTATTAATAAAGTGTGCAGAAGTAGGGAAATACTAAAACCAAAGCTGAATTGTCAACCAGAACTATTCCCCTTGTGCCTTATGACAGCATGCATTAATTAAAGACTGTTTTCAGAGGAGTCTGGTCTTGATAAAGAGTAATCCCAAATGTGCTTACTAGGCATCTTGCTCTAATTAGCCATCTAACTACGGATTTATAAACTGAGCTCTTGACAAGGTCTCCCCTTCTGATAGAGAAGCTAAGTATTGTCTGCTGCACAAAGCTTAGAAATGGATTATTTTTCAGTTACCGGTAATGGAAGTTCACCTGTTGCTGAATGTGTATGTATTTACATGTATTTCAGAATCAGCAATCTGAGTCCAGAACAAGATCAGGGACTGTGGAAACAGAGGTAATGACACTGCTCATTTGTGTGTGTGTGTGTGTGTGTGTGTGTGTGTGTGTGTGTGTTTAAAGTAAATGAATCTTGTGTTTTATTTTCATACTTACATCTCTGACTGTTCAAGACAAAATTATTCTCAGATGAAGAATAATCATATATATAGTAGCCCGATGTCTGTGACTCTGTAACGCTGAAATGGTGGCTGTTCCCTCTGGGCGGTGCTGTTGCCTCAGTCATGTTCTTCACCTCCCGCCGTGGCGCTTGGTTGACTTCTGCACCGCTCAGTTGGGCCGCCGTGGGGGAGCAAGTGGCACAAGCGACTGTTTGGACTCTGCAGTCCCCAGAGTGAGAGGAAGGAAGGGGAGGAGAAGAGAAAGAGAGAGACAGAGAAAGGGGCAGGAGGCAGAGGAGAACTGAGGGAGAGAGAGGGGGAGGCAGTATGAGGACAAGAGAGAGAGAGAGAGACAGAGCGAGAGACTGGGGGCAAATTAAATCGAAAGAACGCGGCTTTTCTTTCGACGGCGGTAAACCTCATTGCACGAGGAAGAACGCCTTTTTTCGAAAGTGCTCTTTCGAAAAAAGGCGTTCTTGAAAGCAAACAGGGCTTTTTAGAAAGAGAGCATCCAAACTCACTTGCTGCTTTCTTTCGAAAAAGCGGCTTGCTTTTTCGAAAGTTCCGCGTGCAGTCTAGACGCTCTCTTTCGAAAGAGGCTTGCAGTCTAGACATAGCCCAGGAGGAGGAGAGAGAGAGAAACACGGAGCGAGAGACTGGCGGCTCAGGAGAGAAGACCGACGTGGAGGAGAGACCTGAAAATCCTGTCTTATGACGAGCTAATTGGCTAGTATATAAATAATAGGTTGCTCAATTCTGCAGTATGAGACCCTTTTACTACTTTTGATTTATAATGTATGTTTGATTTCAGCCATAAATCTTCTGCAGCTATTCAGAATGAAACTCCAAAGAAAAAACCCAAGCTGGAATCCAAGCCATCCAATGGAGATAGGTAAAGTTTATTTTACAGCTGAGATAGTTGAACCACGTAGACCATTGGTTGCTGTTTTTGCTTGGCAGATTAGAAAGGTGAAAAATTACTTTTCAACCTAGTATCTTTTTTAAGATTTATGGCAGAGTGCTGTCAGGTGAATATTTTTTATCCATAGAAAGTTGGCACTATCCCTATTTTTTAGTTTCTTTGGGAAAGGGAAGGAAAAGTAGAGCCTAAGGCTTGCAGTTATCAAACAAAGATTATTCTCTGGCATCAGTGACTTTTTCAGAAGGACACAGATTTGAATCTGGTGCTTTAAACCAGTATAGTATCTAGAAAATGTGTTTCGACCTAAATGTGTGAGACTGAACAACTTATTCTGTCTCTGATCAACAGTTGGAATAAATGTAAAAAGAGGCTGCTTCACATAAGAAGTATTTGACCCCCTCAAAGCTAATACTCAATTATATTTCTGCAGGTGTATGTATTGTGTGCCATTAGTAAGGTAATTTGCCAGTTGCATCCATTTCTGTCAGGTACATACTTTTTTTGCATTAGTCCTTAAGGATGTTTGTGGAATTGTTAATTAAGTAATTGAACTTTGAAAATGTGTTGTTCTGCTGATGCTACAAGTAACAGTTGCTTGTTTGTTTTTTTAAAAATTTTAGTAGCTCTATAAATCAGTCAACAGACAGTGGGGGAACTGACAACTTCGTCCTCATAAGTCAATTGAAAGAAGAAGTGATGTCTCTCAAACGACTTTTGCAGCAAAGAGATCAGACTATCTTAGAAAAAGATAAAAAGGTAAAAGCTACAACTGCTTGATAAGACTTCATTACATTTTTATCTTGTAGGCTCAAGGAGCTGTCAATCTTGTAGTTGTGTGAATGTTAAAACTAATATAAAAATTGATTTTGAAAATAGAGATTTACCAGATTGCTACTTAACTTTTTAAAAGGACAAACGTTTACAGCTAAAATACATCCCAAGTTTTGTAAGGCAACTCTCCCTGAATATGACACCTAATGTGAAATATATATGCAACTCCCCTTTAAAAGCATAAGAACATAACATAAGAACGGCCATACTGGGTCAGACCAAAGGTCCATCTAGCCCAGTAGCCTGTCTGCCGACAGTGGCCAGCACCAGGTGCCCCGGAGAGGGTGGACTGAAGACAATGATCAGCGATTTGTCTCCTACCATTCCTCTCCAGCCTCTGACAAACAGAGGCCAGGGACACCAATTCTATCCCCTGGCTAATAGCCTTTTATGGATCTAACCTCTATGAAATTATCTAGCTTCTCTTTAAACTCTGTTATAGTCCTAGCCTTCACAGCCTCCTCTGGCAAGGAGTTCCACAGGTTGACTACACGCTATGTGAAGAAGAACTTTCTTTTATTAGTTCTAAACCTGCTACCCATTAATTTCATTTGGTATCCTCTAGTTTTTCTATTCTGGGAACTAATAAATAACTTTTCTTTATCTGCCCTCTCCACACCACTCATGATTTTATAGACCTCTATCATATCCCCCCTCAGTCTCCTCTTTTCTAAACTGAAAAGTCCCAGTCGCTTTAACCTCTCCTCATATGGGACCCGTTCCAAACCCCTAATCATTTTAGTTGCCCTTTTCTGAACCCTTTCCAAGGCCAAAATATCTTTTTTGAGGTGAGGAGACCACATCTGTACACAGTATTCAAGATGTGGGCATACCATAGTTTTATACAGGGGCAGTAAGATATTCTGTGTCTTATTTTCTAACCCATTCTTAATAATTCCTAGCATCCTATTTGCCTTTTTGACCGCCGCTGCACACTGTGTGGAAGTTTTCAGAGAACTGTCCACGATAAATCCAAGATCTTTTCTGATTTGTCGTAGCCAAATTAGCCCCCATCATACTGTACGTGTAGTTGGGGTTATTTTTCCCGATGTGCATTACTTTACACTTATCCACATTAAATTTCATTTGCCATTTTGTTGCCCAATCACTCAGTTTGGTGAGATCTTCTTGGAGTCCCTCACAGTCTGCTTCTGTCTTGACTATCCTAAACAGTTTGGTATCATCTGCAAACTTTACCACCTCACTGCTGACCCCTTTCTCCAGATTATTTATGAATAAGTTGAAAAGGATTGGTCCCAGGACTGACCTTTGGGGGACACCACTAGTTACCCCTCTCCATTCTGAAAATTTACCATTTATTCCTACCCTTTGTTTCCTGTCTTTTAACCAGTTCTCAGTCCAAGAAAGGACCTTCCCTCTTATCCCATGGCAATGTAATTTACACAAGAACCTTTGGTGAGGGACCTTGTCAAAGGCTTTCTGAAAATCTAAGAATACTATATCTACTGGATACCCCTTGTCTGCATTTTTGTTAACCCCTTCAAAGAACTCTAATAGAGTAGTAAGACATGATTTCCCTTTACAGAAACTATGTTGACTATTGTCCAACAAATTATGTTCTTCTACATGCCTCACAATTTTATTCTTTACTGTTGTTTTGACTAATTTGCCTGGTACTGAAGTTAGACTTACCGGTCTGTAATTGCCAGGGTTGCCTCTAGAGCCCTTTTTAAAATAAACTACCTTCTACCAGTATGGAAATAAACTACTTTCTAAATCTTAAAATTCGATCTAAGTGAAACACACAAAGCGCAGTGTGAGGAAGCTTGTACTCCTATTAGTCTAGAGTGGGCACATAGTAATGTTCATTTGTGCCTTTTTTTACAAGCAAAATACTAAGCTGAATTTTGTTGCTTGAGCTAACTTTTTTTATATTCTGGAGTCATTGTTCTTTGTGTATAGTTCCTCCCCACAATACAATTTGAATTAAATAAGTGCTTCGCTGAAAGCAAATGCAGTACTTAATCTAGCTGGTCCCATTTTATTAACATTATTGCTAATATGTCCCCTCTGCCTTCCTCCCCCCTTCGATTCACTTCATGAACTCTTTAACTGCATTTAAAGTATATTAGGAGCTGGGTGGGTTTGGGAGCTCAGATCCCTCCTGGACAGGGGCTCTTGCCACCCCGTGCTGCTGCCTCTATATCAGAGGCAGCACATGGGGCGACAATAAGCCAGTCCGTGAGGGGAGTTTTTTTTTTTTTAAACTGGCTCCCCTCTTGGACCAGCTCCTGCCTGGCACCCCGCACTGATATAGAGGCAGCCGCTCGGTGGCAGCAGCCCGTGTAGGAGAGGTCAGAGCTCCCAGACCCGTCAAGAGCCGGAACTGTGCCGAGCTGCCTGCCAGCCCAGCTCCTGATATGCTTTAAATGCAGAGCCACAGTGGGACAGGGGACTCCTTGGAATGCACTGGCTGCTGGCCCTTCCCTGGGGACTATAAAATAGTTGACTAACCAATAAGAATTAATGAGATTACTCAACTGTTCAATTAACCAATATTTAACGTCACTAATATGCAGGACCTTCAGAGATTTGCCCTGTGCACCCAAACACTGAGAGAGATTTCTTTCAGCCCTCTTTAAGGCACTCTCCAGAAACTCCCTTAAAATAGCAGATGGCCAGCTTGATTAGTTCTGAAGGAAAAAATAATGAAATGCAAGCCTAAATTAGCCTCTGACCACCTGGACTCCAGGCGTGCAGTACACATCTCTCTGCAGACCTTGTTTCCCTGTAAGACTATCCTAGCAAACTAGTTCCCCAAGGATTGTTTCATCCTATCTAAATCCAAGTACTCTACCACAAATCAAGGTCTCAGTGTTCCATGTTTATAGTTCTGACTTGATGCATCAGACTAGTATTTTCTTTCAAACAAACAATTAGCAGAAGACACTGAGAGCCACCTGCTGTCCAACTTCATTTCCAAAGACTTCAGGCAGCTTTACAGTGTAAGAGTCTTCTCTTAGTGTTGGCTTAAGGAGCCCTTCTGTGTGTTAAGCAGCCTAGCCATGTCTCACTTGGTGATTTCATGCAGTGTAAGGCCCTCGCTAATCCTTCATCAAGATCAGCCTGAATTTGATATCTGTACCCCAGGATTGGCTCCTTCAATGCAGAGTACTAGTCTTTAATTCCAGCAAACAGACCCCATAGGTCCTGTGCTAAAGGTCTTGGTATAGCCATTGTTGATGCCTTTTCAGATAGTGCTTCAAGGTGTATCTTAGAAGCATGATGGTGCTCAGGGATGCAATGGCTTCCTCCTGAATCACAACAGATTTTAGGAGTAACAAGACATGTTCTCTAAGGATTTGACATTCTCTATTACATAAAGGTGGTGAGATCTCTATTAGCATTAGTTCAGGACTTTACAAGAAGCACAATTAGTCCATACTTGGACCAAGAGCCTCCATCCAGTAGCATGGCCATGCTCTTGTACGCTGTTTTGGACCACTTGGCAAAGGTGCATCAGATCATACCATTTTGTTTGCTTCAAACATTTCTGAGAAATACATACTGCCCAGGACATAACCAGCAATGTCTCCCATCCCACTGAAAAGTTTGGTGGTCAAGATAGCCATGGTTAGAGAAGATACCAAACTGTTCTCCTTCACAGCAGAAACTGCCAGGCCTTCCTGGCCCAACAGCATATTAACTACTGCAGAAGAAACCATGTAATCCCATGGTCACCTACAGGCCTCAACCAGTTGATCGCGAGGCGTTCGCCCCACTACCTACCTCCAGCGAAAATGGAGGTAGTACCGGCTTCCTGGGGGTAGAGGGAAGTCCTGCAGCTTAGCGCCACTTCCGGGGGTTCTGGAAGTGCGCTTGTTGCTCTGCCGGGCGTGCTGCGGGGGGGAGCATCGGCCCCGGAGGAGGAGCATGGCAACTTCCCTGCACCGGCACAGGAGGGATGAGTCGGCTCCGGGGCAGGCGCGTGCAGAGTTTCCCTGCGCGGGGGGTGTTTCCACCCCAGGGCATGCACGCCCAGGGTTTCCCTGCGCCCCGGGGGGAGGGGGGGGTTTCAGCCCCGGGGCAGGCATGCGCGGGGTTTCCCTGTGCCGCA